ATATAACTGTATTTTGTTTTATTTTAAAAATGCCATATTTACAAAATTACTAAAAAAAATGATTTGAACAAGTACTTCTATTGAATGTATACTGAATGCTTGATATGTTGTCAGGGTCTCAGGTGGTTTAGTTTGTTCCTGGATTAACTGGATGGACATACAGAGTCCCAAGTTGTCAATAAAAGGACAATTTAACTGATGCAGTCACTCCTCCAAGTCCATCTAACCCCAGATGCCTTCCCAAATATTCAAATCATGGCCTTGGCTACATTTTAGAAAGAGAAATCCTCACAAGCACTCAGTAAGAAATGTAAACAAGTGAAAAAAAAACTTTTTGATAGGCTTGTTGCTATGGAATTGTATGGCACCTCCTTGTATTGCTATGGCAACAGACAATGACTGCCTTTCATTGTCAAATATTGTAATAGCATGTCATCCACAGAGGGCAAAATCACAGCGAGTATGCAAGACATTCCACTTGATTCACAAATAAAAAATGGTGCTCACAGTAACTTTAAGCTTGCTCCTCCAAAATATAATCACAGACTAACAAATCAGATTGATTGTATTTATGCAACTGTCGAACAGAAGTCACACCAGAGGTTAACCGTTATTGGACACAAGACCAGCTCTAATCACTCTTCTCTCATTGATCAGCTGTTCTCTCAAAGTCGTCAATTGGATTCTGTGAAATGCTTAGTCTCTTACATAAAACAGCTGGAATAAGGACTTATGGATTTCATTTGCAGTTTTTAGTGAAAATATGTTACACAAAACAAGAAATTCTTAAGTGTTTTATTTCATATATATTTTTTACATTTATTGTTTTTTTTATTACAGTAAAACATCTGCATTCAGTATTTTGGGGTAAATAAAATTTTACACTTAAAGAAATACATTGTATTTTGAGAAAAATCATTAAAATGTAAGGACTCCAGTCATATCAGTCTTCTAGAAAAAAACAAAACAAAACAACAACAACTGTATTTCTACATGGAGATTAAGCCGGTAAACAATGACTGAATGCAGCCAAACAAGTTAAAATAAACATGCATGACTAAGAAGGCAGAACGAACATAGTTTCTTTCATTTTCATTATGTTTTGACCCTTGATCATTTTCAGAGATTTTTCTTAAACATGCTGTCTGCATAGATTTGTTTACCATCTAATAAATGTACCTTTGCTCCCTCTAGAGGTTAAATAGATAATTACAAATTAGGCATATGATATTTTGTTTGCAAGCTTTCATGAAACAATGTATTATTTAGTGCTGTCAAACGATTAATTGCAATTAATCGCATCCAAAATAAATGTTTTTGTTTACATAATATATGTATGTGTACTGTGTATATAAATACACACACATGCATGTATATACACTGAACAAAATGATAAACGCAACACTTTTGTTTTTGCCCCCATTTTTCATGAGCTGAACTCAAAGATCTAAGACTTTTTCTATGTACACAAAAGGCCTATTTCTCTCAAATATTCTTCACAAATCTGTCTAAATCTGTGTTAGTGAGCACTTCTCCTTTGCCGAGATAATCCATCCACCTCACAGGTGTGGCATATCAAGATGCTGATTAGACAGCATGATTATTGCACAGGTGTGCCTTAGGCTGACCACAATAAAAGGCCACTCTAAAATGTGCAGTTTTACTGTATTGGGGGTCCGGGGTTGGGTCCGAAAACTAGTCAGTATCTGGTGTGACCACTATTTGCCTCACGCAGTGCAACACATCTCCTTCGCATAGAGTTGATCAGGTTGTTGATTGTGGCCTGTGGAATGTTGGTCCACTCCTCTTCAATGGCTGTGCGAACTTGCTGGATATTGGCAGGAACTGGAACACACTGTCGTATACGCCGATCCAGAGCATCCCAAACAAACTCCGGTGAGTATGCTGACCATGCAAGAACTGGGATGTTTTCAGCTTCCAGGAATCGTGTACAGATCCTTGCAACATGGGGCCATGCATTATCATGCTGCAACATGAGGTGATGGT